TCGATCATCGCAAGCCCGCCCCCCTGACAGGCAGATCGCACTCTGGATCATGTGTAGAGTGTGGAGAAGGCAGGAGGGCTTCCGATGACCGCAATGCTGAACGGGCAGTGTGCGCGTGCGCACACCGGCCCGTTCGGCATTTGTCTTCCGAGCACCGTTCTAACCAGCCGAGAATCGTACGATTCCCGGCTGGTTTTCGAACATGCTGGTTCGACGGAAGACGTGCGACCGTACAGTAGAAACGGTCGCACGTCTCCGTTCACACTGCTCGATTCTCGTACGATCGCGGGATTTCCCGCGATTCTCGTACGAGAATCGAGCAGTGTATGTGCACCTTTAGAGCAGCCCTAAATAGTGAAGACAACTTGCAACCAGACTGTTTTTGGTAGATTTAAATTGCCAAATCTGAAGAAACTATAGGTAATAATTAAAAAGATATTATATAAATTGCCAATAACCTAAAGCAAAGTAAAATATTGCGGATAACTGTTCATTAAAACCAGCCATAGTTTTAGGTGAATTCTGACAAACTGGAACATTGGCAGGATTTCTTAAATACTTAATGCTGCAAATTACATGCTTGAATTTCCAGGCTCACCCATGTGCAGCAGCCATATAGGCGTCTCCATTCCATTTTATATTGTGGGGGTTATTATCCTTTTTCACTTCAATTTTATTTTTTTAATTACTATTTAGTATTTGCTTCAACTACATTAGCATACCCTTTTTTTTAAAATGTCCTCCAACTTCCCTTGTCTTCTCTTTCCTCCTTTTGACAAACCAGATGAAGATGGCATGTAAATGGAGCTCGGAAACCACAGCTGTAGACACACTGGATTCCCCCCTCGAGTTACCTATGAGCTCTAGTCATGATTAGAACAGAACCCTGGTAAAGATGCACTACAGCATGGAGTATTATTTGCTTTATAGAATCATTGTGTTCACACATTCCTGGCAGCATTAAGTAGCCACAACAGTGACAATGACATCAGTACTTGCTTGATGACTAGTAGGTGGCCACAAACCACCCAACACATGCCTATAACAAAGTGGTAGTCCACAGGCCACACTTTGACAGTGACTGCTTTACATTTACAGATGGAAATTAAAAAGTAGCTCTTACTTATGACATGTAATGTAACATAACTTTTTTTTTGTGTTGGACATAGTAGTTCTTTAGAATTTTCTTTGTAGCTTTGTGTGTCTTACTATTTTACGACACCTGGACACAGAGGGAAATTTATCAAAACTGGAGCAGACAAATTCTGGAGCAGCTGTGCATGGCAACCAATCAGCTTCTCTCTTTCATTTTCAAATCTTAACTGAAGAGAGATGCTGATTGGTTGCCATGCACAACTGCTCCAGATTCTGTCTGCTCCAGTTTTGATAAATTCCCCCCCAGAATGTCTTTGGTGTGCTCCAATGGAACTGCTAAAAGAGAGTTTAGTGAACATGGAAAAAGACTTCCCAAAGCTGCTCTTTTATCACTTGGTTAAAGGTTGTGGTACTTACATTGTTTTGGGTGATGTCAAAAACATACAGCACAGCAAGATCGCCTGTTGGTGGCACTGTATTTCATAAGCAGGACTGGTTCAATACCCTTGTCCACTAGTGGGAGTCTCCCAGCGGCTGAGTTTAATTTACCCCCACCTGAGACTGGCCACTGGGACTGAGATTTTTTGTACATAGCTTGTAGTTAGATATTTGTGTGAGTTGTATGTTATGTCTGTTACAGTGTTCGGTTAAAGGTTTTGCTACATGACTGTGTTATTTTTAAATGTGTTTTATTAATAAATATATTTGATAGAAAACAAAAGAAATCAGTTCAACAATAAAGTTGGGCATTAAAGCAACAGGCTATTATGAAAACTAGGAACAAAAGAAAGCGCCTCCATAGTGTAAAAGTGTGATTTAATAGTAAAAACACGCAGCTCTAAGGCTTCATCAGAACCTATGAAACAAGATAGGTTCTGATGAAGGGGGCTTGCCCCAGAAACGCTTAAACCTTTTGCTAACACAGGGATAGAGGACGCTGGTGAATTTCATCACTCCAGACTCTCCCTGCTAGAGGTTCCGACTTCTCATCTTACTCTACTGGTTTTTATTCAACTGAATTGTTGTAAGTACAGCCTTAAAGCTGCGTGTTTTTACTATTAAATCACACTTTTACACTATGGAGGCGCTTTCTTTTGTTCCTTGTTTCCTAGACTGGTGGTCAATCTGACCTGTGGGAGCTGCCTCCTCGTGTTTGCTTTATCTAATTGCTGGGCACCTTGCAATTGAAGGCGCCGGTATTTTTTCGTTATTATGAAAACTATTTTAATCACCCTTCCAAAGTTTACAAAGCAAAATAAGGTCTGATATTATCTCAGACTAAACTTTTCAACTTTAGTCACTCTGCATGACAAAGAAAGTGTGTTTTTAACAATGTAGATTGAAGCCAAACATGCCAGATATGGAAAATTAGAATGTTAAGGGCATAATAGCAAGGGGAAGAAAATATGGGGTTGATGTATAAATGTTCGGCCCAAAGTATAACTGTGTGACTGACCTTCACACAGCATTCCCATCACTAGATGAAGCTGAGGGGCAGGAATCTCATGCAAACGGCATTTGCCCAGCTATGCACTAAGCAGAACGTTTGCACATCAGCGCCTATGTGTTGCCCCTTTGCTAAGTGCTTATTTTGCTTAAAGGACAATTGAAGTTTTGTTGTCTTTTTTTTTTGTTCCACTTAGTGTCGTCCATCTGGATTTATATTTATGTTCAGACCCGATCCATCTTCACTGTGCTGCTCCACACCAAGTCGCACAGCCTTTCTATTGCAACATGGCTGCTCCACACTGCTTATGCACTGCAGCCCCAATCATTCCTATGAGAAAGCCATACTCCAAGCAACTGCTTAAGGCCACAAGAACAGCTTTCCAATAGGAATAGGTGTGACATGCGCAGTATGGAGGTGGCATTTTTTGAAGTAAAGGCTGTTTGGCTTGAAATTGGGCAGTACAGTGAAGATGAACTGGGGCTGAAGGTATGTATAAGACCAGGAGGGTAGCAATCGGGGTGAATGGGGGGAACTAATTGAAACACAAATTTAAAAATGTCTAATTGCTCTCAAATTGTTTATTCAAAGCTGGGGAAATAAAAATCCATCTAGTAAATTAGAACACTGATACTACGGACATTGCATTCCAGATTTCTGTCCAGGAGCGCATTAGCAAAGCTAAAAGCAATCACAGTCACAAGCTGTGAACTGACATGACACATGTATGCTAACAGCATCACCTGCAGGTTTTTTGTTATATTACAATGAAAATAGCTTTGAAGGATCACTGCACTTAGATCTTCCAAAAAACATCAAAATGTACCGGGATGTTACTGAATAATGACACTGGATACTTACAGTTGTACTCACCAAGATTGCAGAATTTGGTTAATGCAGTTAAGTTTTAACACCTTAAGGACCAAAGACGGAATTATTCCGTCATGGTTGTCCGTGCCATAAGGACCCATGACGGAATAATTCCCTCATGGGTCCTTAAGGGTTTAAGCTTCCATCATGTGCTGAATGAAAAGTTATATATGCATATGTCACATCAAATTAGAGCCCTTTCTGTCCCTTAAAAAACATTGGGGGGAATTTATCATAGCAATTGCGAGTGTTTGAACTTGAACGGAAAATATTTGCACCAAATTTATGATGCTAGTGTAATGTTGTTTATAAATGAGGTTAAATAGACTCCAGGAAAGAAGACTTATAACTCCAGGCAAAAAGCTTAAAGTGACATTAAACCCTCAGATTTTTTAACATAAACCAATACTGTAATGTGTGCCTTACTGTAATCCATGGTAGTTTCCCTTCTCTTTGCTGCTCTTCCTTTTAAATCCTTCTCTCTTCTCATGCTTGGCAGAACTTCTGTTTTGCAGCAGACTGCCTTGTCTCTGGAATGGATACATGGTCTGTGTGCAGGTTCACAACCTGAGCCAGCACTACAGGAAGAGGCACTCAGCTGCAAAGGGAAGTTCTCTCCAAGCATGAGAAGAGATACAGATTCAAAAGGAAGAGCAGCAAAGAGAAGGGAAACTACCATGGATTACAGTAAGGCACACATTACAGTATTGGACTATGTTAAAAAATCTGAGGGTTTAATGTCACTTTAAAGGAGAACTATGAGGTGAGTGCTTTTCACTCACCTCATAGTTCTAGCCGACCTGTGACAATGAGACTGTCACAGGTCGGCTCAGCAGATCGGGAGGTGAGCGAACACATACCGGCGTTCGCTCACCTCTCTGCCGTGACAGGGAGGGGCTAGATTCCCCCCTAAGCCAGCGCTGACTGGCTGAACGGATGGGGGAGGGTACAGCTGGCTCTGCCTCTGGATAGGCAGAGCCAGCTGTCAGTCACGCAGCTGGGCGGATCCCGGCATAATTGTCGGGATCCGCTTAGCTGCGGCGTCTCAGTATACCGCGAGCAGCAGCTCACTATACTGAGCCTAGGGTGACGGGAGGACGCTAGTTTGTGTCCACCCGTTACCCTAAGGAGAACTATAGGGAAAAGCCTTAACCCCATAGTTCTCCTTTAACTGTCGCTTCTTGAAGAAGTGGTCATAGGGACTTTTTAAGTTGTGATTGTTCCAGTTTCATACAGCCCCAGAACAAGTACAGATGAAAACAGGTGCAAAAAACGTGCAGTTGAAAAAGTAGAGCAAGTTCAAGAGAAAACAGGGGCACATGTTAAAAGACAGATTTGCACATTAAAAAAAATGATCTAAGAGGCTAAAACTGTCGCAATTGCTTTGATAAATTCCCCCCATTTATTATATAATATAAAAAACTGAGCATTGACAACATAGAGCCGAGAAAACCAAAACTACAGTAACATTCCGACTTGGCTGGGCGGGGCTGTTCTGTGTCATGTGACCAGCTGCATTCGGCACATGCGGTGTACAGACTGGTGTTCTACGAATGCCATAGCGGAACCAAGTGTCTTACTTTCCCGGGGAAGGTATTGTGAGTGCACGGTATCCATTACCGCTAGTTTTGGTTTTCACTTCCTGGATCGGCGCTGTCATCAAGCCGGTGAGTGGTTTCACCTTGGCCGTAATATGTGGCCTGTTCTGAGCTCACCCGGCTGCCTGTGCTCGCCCCGTTCCGGATGTATAGAGGAGCTGTCCGGGATCACAGGGCTGCCATGGCCGGGTCTTGGGGGCAGACAGCCGAGGGAAGGTCAACGGGTTACAGGTCCACATAATAGGGCATAGTGCTAACTGACTGTGACACATGGAGGACGGTGATCTGTCTGCAGCTGTTATGTGCACTGAGCTTCATCTTCATTTTAGAACTCAGATCCTCTCCCTGTGTATGTGAAGGAACGAATGTCAGGCAGGCTGGATGGGGCTCAGTGTGATTCCACACTGCTGATTCATCACATGTCCGTAGAGCCTTCATAATTCATTGTTTTATAACCCATCGGTCAGTCCATTTTCCTGGGTTGACTTTTCTTACCTCAGAATTGATCATTTTCATCTCCAATGTTACATTTCTCTTACCTATAAATCCCAATTACCATAAACAGAGTAAAGCACAATCTTTAAAATGATACATATTGACATTTATTAAAACTCTGCTGGTTACTGTATAATTGCCAACTTCAATTACATCGGACCCAACATACAGCGCTCTTCTTTTGACGCTGGGACTGACAGTTCAGATCTCATAAAGTGCATGGATTGTGTTATGTAGCCACTACCTCTCCTCCATTCACAGAACATCTTGCATTCTGAAAAAGTATACAAGGCATTCTGTGAATGGACGAGGGAAGAGGAGTCGGCGGATACATAACATGATCACCACACTGTATGAGAGCCAGAACTGTCAGTCCCAGTACCAGAAGAAGAACGCTGTGTGTATTATCCGGAGTGGATGAAAATAGTAATGGTACAGTGAGGGTCGTCAACACCATCAGCTACATTGGAAAGCAGCCGCTGGTGTGCGATGTGTTGGGAGCGCTGCCGACGCACTGAAAACATCACATCACGCTGTCAATTTTTTTTTTTTCCCAACTGTGAAATGCCATTTAGTTCTGTTGCCTTGTGATGTGGTGTAGTGCATTGCAACACACTGCGGTGAAAAAAAAAGTACTTCTTTCCATCACACAGCACTACAAAGCAAGATCTGACCGTAGGATATTCTTCAATAGAGGCACCTTATTTACATTGTGCTGTTTACAAATATTTTTATATATTTAAAAACAAATCTTATATTTATAAATATTTTCTAGAGTTAAAGTAAATGTTTACAAATATGTAACATTTTAAAGGTAATAGTACTTTCCATAAAACCGCAGTCCCTCAGTAGTCATCCCCCACGCAGCGAAAATAAATGGGAACAAGAGCTGCGCAGAGCCCAGCATGGATGGAGTGTTTTAATTCCCCAATGCTCTGTAGGCAGTCAGTAAGGGAGCTGCAGGGCAGACACACACCTAAGGGGATGTAGGGTAGCTGAGTCTGCATGAGGCTGGCTTGCTGTGAATAATGGTCAGTTTGATTCAGACCTCCCCCCTTCTCCCCCCTTCTAATGTTAACTTCTCTGGAGAGCCCCAGAGGAGTTTAAGTGTATCTAAACCTAAAGTGGTATGAAAACATATGTAGCATATCTTGCATTATCTTGTATTGCTACTTAAAGCACAACTCCAGTAGAATGTGCTGTGTACCAATGACAGCCATACTGACTGTTATCCTCCCATCTCTCCCCTTGTCCATTCACAGAACCCTGAGAACCATGAACAAAATACAAGGCTTTCTGTGGATGGACAAGGGGAAAGATGGGAGGATAATAGACAGTATGGCTTCTCCATATGAGAGCCACAGCACTGGAAGCATAGTGAGAGCTATACTATCCGCCATCAATATAAGTGTTAACATTTGGAAAGAAATGGCAGCAATCCTAGGGCTGGCGTAGACCTCACCAGAGATAACCTATTGTTACAAAGCACATTTTAATAAAAGAATGTGCCTGGAGCTCTGTTTTAATGCCCATCTGATTTTGACTGAAAGGGAAGGCTGGAGAATTTGAATTTCTTACCCATATCACTTCCACTTATAGGGTGACAACACTGCCTTTCAGGGTTTCCCTGCAGACAAAATGTTGTCTCTGATCATCTCTCTCCTGTCCAGGGCAGCAACCCTTAATGCTGACACACACACAACCAGCATTGATGCCATGTGCTTTTATTAGGTCTACTGTTCCCATCAGAAACTGAAGCACATTAAGAAAGCAGTATGCACGTGCTTGTTGAAAAGCATCATGGGATAGATATTCCCAGGAGGCATTGCTCTTGACTGCACACCCTGACCGGTAGTCCAGATAAGCCTCAGACAAGATGTGCATGGCATGAATAACATCTGGAGGCTTAAAGTATATTTTATTATACTAACATCAATTTAGAGATACTAATTAACACATGAAGCTTAATTATTAGGATTTTATTTTTACATAAGTATGTAATTATACTTCAAGTCTAGCTGTCTGAATACAACAATAGATTGGTGGGTCATTTCACACAAGTGATCCTGACGCTGGAAGCAACAGGCCCATTCCTATGACCCTCCTATCCACTCCTTGTGTAGCTGCTTGGTGAGTGAGTGAGTGAGAGTGAGATTTAGCAATGTTCCAGCCTGTGATGGAGCAGGCTAGATGTGTTTTTAGCAGCTTGCTACCAGTGACTGGAATGGTAATGTAGCCCTTTAGTATTTTATAATCTTGAACTCTGCTCATCTCTTGGAGACAAAGGTTTTCTGAAGCAAGCTTACTTACTAGAGATGCATTGCAAAGCTCTGTGTCTGTGCCATGCAGGAAATCTAAACTACGAGTGGGAGGTTCTGCTTTCATAACTGTAAATTATAGAATTTGTTTTGGTATGTAGAGTCCTTTATTATGTCCATTCTGCACAGCTAATCTTAGCTCCCATAGATTCTTGGGACCAGTGCTCACACAGCATGTAAGATAGGATGTAATTTACTCACTGAGGGCCACAGCAGAGACATGTACAAGTTAATGTATAACAGCCCTACATGCAAGGTGAATGGAGGCCAAATACATCTGCACTAGGCCTTATCAGTGTACAGTACACAATCCCTACAAGATTTGACCCTGAATTGAATGATGCGACTCGCATAGCTGGCAGTGAAGAATTATTTTCCTGGTCAGTTCTATTAACAACATTGTGTACATGCAGATATGGGCACTTTACTTCATCCTGGTTGGATGAAGCAGAAGCAGCATGACCTACAGCAGAAGGTTGGAAAATGGCTAGGTACAGTCATGACCCAGAATATTGGCACCCCTGCAATTCTGTCAGATAATGCACCACTTCGCCCAGAAAATTGTTGCAATTACAAATGTTTAGGCATTCTCATGTTTATTTCTTTTGTTTGTATTGGTATGACACAAAAATGTGGAGAAAAAAAAGCCAAGCCTGACACATTCCACACAAAACTCCAAAAATGGACTGGACTAAATTATTGGCACCCTCAATTAATATTTGGTAGCACAGCCCTTCGAGAAAAGAACTGAAATCAATCGCTTCCTGTAACCATCAATGAGTTTCTTACTCCTCTCTACAGGAATGTTGGAGCACTCTTCTTTCACCAACTGCTCCAGATCTCTCAGATTGGAAGGGTTCCTTTTCCCAACTGCTGTTTTGAGATCCCTCCACAGGTGCTCTAAGGCAGTGGTTCTTAACCTGTGTAACCTCAGGACCCAGATTTGTACTTGGTCATTAAGTCGCGACCCAAGTCGCACTGCAATGGAACGCACAGGGTTGCGGTACCGCATGTTCCGATGCGGGCGATCAAACTGTGGGTAGGAGGTGTGTTTGGGATGCCATTCAAAAGATCCACCCAGTCTCCATACCTTACAAGAGCTGGAGTTGATCCTCAGCTTGGGGTCCAGTGTGGACTGCTGTGCTCTGATTGAGCTCCATTCATATGTGTGCCCTGTAGAGGTGCCGGGAACCAGAATGTGACATCACTCCGGTTCATCACATTCTCCCAAAAGGATTTTGGCTTCCTCAGGTAAGTTTTGGCAAACTCCAATCCGGCTTTTTTAGGTTTCTGTGTCATTAGTGGGGTCCTCCTGGGTCTCCTACCATAGCATCCCTTTTCATTCAGATGGCGACGTATAGTGCGAGCCGACCCAGTTGTACCCTGTGCCTGAAGGTCAGCTTGAATTTGTCTGGAAGTTGATCGAAGGTCTTTATCCACCATTCGAACAATTCTTCGTTGCAATCTTTGAACAAATGTTCTCTTTTGTCCACGTCCAGGAAGATTAGCTACTGTGCTATAGGCTGTAAACTTCTTGACAATGTTGCACACAGTGGACACAGGAACATTAGGATCTCTGGAGATGGACTTGTAACCTTGAGATTGTCCATGCTTTTCCACAAAAACTTGGAATGCAATTATTTCTTGCAATTTGGAGAAGGTGCCAATAATTTTGTCCAGTCCGTTTTCAGAGTTTTGCGTGGAATGTGCCGGATTTAGCTTTTTTTGTTCTCCACTTTTGTGTGTCGTACTAATACAAACACAAGTATTAAACATGAGAATGCCTAAACATTTGTAATTGCAACAATTTTGTGTGCGAAGTGGTGCATTATCTGACAGAAATGCAGGGGTGCCAATATTTTCGGCCACGACTGTACCACAGTTCTGCCTATACACTCCCCAGCTATCTCCGGGGTGTGGAATTTAAAAAAAAAAAAACTACTTGTCTAAGGGACTGATAGAAAAAGTAATTTCAACCAAAACCGCACAAGGATATAACACTAACAATTGGGGTGATTAACGGTAGCCCAGAGTGAATGGACAATTTTGTATAACACTAATTCTATAAAAGGATATGTTTTATTGAGACGTAATCATAAGATGATACACGAAAAAGAATGATAAAAAAAAAACAAGTTCCTATATGGCTATTACGCCTCCTCATGCAAAAACACACACACCCATCCATATGGATCTATGGCTGGGAGCAGCAGATGTGCCGCATCCCAGCACTGCTCCTCCCCCTCAGGGTTTGTCGCCACCACTTTCCCGGTACCCAGCTGCCTCCTTCTCCTCCCCACCCGACCCGTCATGCTCTCAGCAGCAGGGGAGATGGGGGTTGTCCTCTGCTGCTGGCAGAATTGCCTGGCAGAATTGCCTTCCAGCCTGAGCTCCACTCCGTTGAGGTAAAAAAAAAAAAAAAGACAATGTAACCCTGTTGTTCGCAGGGCTAAATATAGGGGAAAAAAACACCTGCCTGGCACATGGAACTGCATGTCCTGGGCGTCAGGCAATAGGGTTCAGGGAAGCTTATCCCACTTCTACCTGAAAACCTTTACTCATCCTTTTCACCTTTTAACTAATTCCCCCACAGTTACTACCGTTTGTATCACTTGCCCCTACTTTTTAGATTGTAAGCGTGCATTTATATATACATACACACACATACACACACACACAAATATATTATCAGGTACATATATTCATCCAGCCAGTAAGATATAATACACATAAAGAAACAGTGGCGAGGTGCCGGAATCCTGCGTCCAGGTAGGTTTGTATCAATGCATTTCTTTTGAATGTCTTTTCTTGTTATTTCTGCCTGTAGCCACAAGATGGCAATGTAGCTTTAAAAACATTTTTTCCCCTTGTACTATAGAAAATGGTCCACACAGAAGCCTTTTCTCGCCCTCTGAGCCGGAATGAAGTTGTTGGTTTGATCTTCAGACTGACAATATTTGGAGCGGTCACCTACTTCACAATTAAATGGATGGTCGATGCCATAGATCCCACCAGAAAACAGAAAATCGAAGCTCAGAAGCAGGTATGATAGTATCATGATTAAAGCTCCAATAATGACATCAGGAGACCCACTGAGCCTTTTTCTAGAAGAATGGTTTTAACCGGTTCTGTTTGTTTTCTTGAGAATTTTGGAAAGTGAAAGCCAACATTATATCCTACGGGCTGCAGCCATTGTTTCTCTTTGCTTTTTATATAGTTCAGCTTCATTATGTTTTGGGTATCGGAAACCTAATATTACACATCATCTAGAATCAGCTATATAACAGATTAAAATGGTTACGTAAGAGTTATTTAGGGGTTAGCATTTCTGCCTTGCAGCACTAGGGTTCTCGGTTTGACTCCCAACCAGGACACTATCTGCATGGAGTTTGCACGTTCTCTCTTTGTTCACGTGGTTTTCCTTCAGGTACTACAGTTTTTTTCCCACACTCCCAGATTTGCTTGTAGGTTAATCAGCTATTGTCTAACCTGGCCTTAGTATGTAATTGGGACCTTAGATTGCAAACCCCTTGAGGGCAGGGACTGATGTGAATGAATAGTATGTAAAGTGCTGCATATATTATCAGCGCTAAATATAGATGAGCCAACTGTGTTGTACTGTCTGGTAATGTTTCTTGAAGTGGAATTCCAGGCAGCTAATTGGCTAACGTCACAGTTGAATTACATATGTTTGCTGTTTTTCTAGCCAGTTTGGTGTGAATCACAAAACTAAGCAGAAGGGAAATCTTTTGGCAGGTAAAACTGGTTTTATATATATATATATATATCAGCTGTGTATTTACTTGTTTGTCTGCAGTGCAGCTTTAATCTCTCATACTTGCAGATGAGTGGTCGGATATTCAGACACATTTGAACTGCCTACAGTTTGGTTTCCTGAGAAATCTCCCCATGAACATATGTGCCTGGATAGGAACATGTGTATGTTTACAAGGAGAGAAGGCAGAGTGCAGAAGGGTGCTTGTCTTGGCTGAGAGCTAGAATTGTCTGCGGGGCATTTCCTTAGAGGGCTGTTGGCACCCACCGACATGGGATTGAGGCTTATTGTAAACTGGATGGATCAGACCAAAACCATCCTATATCTGCTAGTACCTTTAGACATAAGCGCAACAAATAGGTTTAGCTAGAGCTGGATAGACATCAATATTATGTTGTATTCAGATGCTTTTAATGCAAGTTAAAGTGGACTTAGAACTTAGTTTATTCATATCAATTCTTAAGTCCCCGATTCCTCTAACCTCGTTGGTTAAAAAACATATATGAAATATAAGCCTGTTATCAACCCTGGAATCCGTCTGGTACCTGCAGAGCAACAACATGAGGTCATGTGTGCTCCCAAAAAGGCTTTGCCCTTATATGAATGTCACCATTTTAATAATTGACCCCCCTACAGGTTTGCTCATGTGGCTGCCCATCTCTTTCGTGGTTGAAGTTGGTATTTGCATATGGTTAGGGTTTTCTGGGGTGTTTTAGAAGAAAACGGACTTTAAATCCATATGGAACTTGGAGATTTATGAAGATTTACATCACTAGAGTTGCACTTTAGGCAAATTAGAGTGCACTGCACCTGCATTCACGAAATAAATCTTTGAACTGATCCAGAGCAAACTCACCCAGGCACAATAGAAGTGTAATGCAATCACAGTATGTATGCCAGCGTGCGCTTGTACTCATTGGGTAGACTGCTAAAATGTACTTTGTTTAATGATGAAGCTGTTTTTTTTTAAATAGAAAATTCCCATTTGTGTCTCTGTTCTGCTTTACAGGCTGAGAAATTAATGAGACAGATTGGTGTAAAGAATGTGAAGCTCACGGAATATGAAATGAGCATTGCAGCTCATCTTGTCGATCCACTAAGCATGCTGGTATGTTGTAAATGGCACACTGACCTAGTTGGTTATCATATGGCTGATAATATGCAACCGAAACAATTTATAGTGTATGTTATGACAAGATAATATCAGAAATGCATTACTGGAATACATGCAGATTTTCCCGTGTCCCTTTTGAAAATGCTGCAAGTACAGAAACATTCAGGGAGCTCCTAACTTCTTATTTGAGCAGGCATAACACTACCTGGGCTGCCCTGTCCAGTGCTCTGTTGCTGCACTACAGATCAATCCCCTCTCTCCTTATTCCCATATCATAATGGGCAAATGTTCTGTATTTTTCTGTACTTGCAGTGTGTTTAAGAGACAAGATCTGGATGAATGTGTCGTGCAGATTGCAGGGAGGCAAAAATGTTTCCCTTTTTTTTTTTTTTTCTTTCCTATTATATTGCACACCTCCCCTCTGAAAAGCATTTCCTGAAGGATCTTCTTTTCAGAGGGTGGTAGAGCAGTGGCTGGCCGGCATTCAGGAGGTGATGCTGCTGCCTCATGCACCCCTTCTTTTTTTTTTATCCCAATGAGAATTTCCAGTTGCAATACCAAAACATCATCCGCATGCCCATCGGTGCTCACCCCAGGTAATTCGCTAGTTACTGTAGTTCTGATGTACTTAATTTTTTGGGGTTTGTGTCAGGAGACCAGCACTGAAAGTTTTCAATCCAGGGAGCTTTGTGCAGATCTATTTCCCTAACCTGCAGGCTCCTTTATTGCTAACACTGTCTGAAGGGATAAAGTGAGTTTATAATTAGCAGTAGTTTATTTGTCTCAAGTTAGAGTTCTTGTTTAAGCTGTAACAACCTTGAGAGTTTTGAGTTGCTGGAAAACACGTGATTTCACAGGAAATTATTGTGCATCGTTATCTAGCTAAAGTTTCGATTTCGTATGCAGCAGTTGCTACGCTCTTCTTATTTGTGATTGGTTAATGCTGAATCACCGCCCCATGCTTGCTCTGTATAAAGCTTGCCATACACCTTACAATTTATCTGCAGATTTTCTATGGTCAGATGGAAAAGGTGCAACAGATTCCTCCATCTACACTTAACTGTGTAGATGGAGTAATCTCCACCTGGGCCAATTTGTTGCACTTTTTCCATCTGACCACAGAAAATCTGCAGATAAATTGTAAGATGTATGGGCACCTTAACAGTTACCCTGTACTGAATATATCTTTGATATTGAGTGGATACCACACACCTTTGTGTCTGTGTTGATTCTCATATCCCAAGCTCGAGAGTGCACCAATACAGCTGAAGAGAATTAAAGTCCTCGGCAGATTTGACCCCCGGGTTATCACAAAATAACTCATCACTGTCCTTAGCCTTCACCCCATCCATATTTAACCCTCTGTTTTTGCTTACGTACCTGTCCTGCTACCACAGTCTCTGTGTTGAAGGCTAACAGTTCTACACAGAAAGAGTTCACCACTGAAAAGTAGTGACCGGTAGTGCTGTGCAATGAATATTAGTAGCTACTCACAACAACATAAAAAGTCCTGTCGCACACCGCAAGTTTAGCTGAAAAATGTATTATAGCGCACAGGTACACATCATCCCTCTGCGGATCCTCTTCACTCTGACATGTTTCACCCAATAATGGGCTTAGTCATAGACTGATACTGGAGCAAGACGGACTCAACCGGTGTGCACTCTCCATTCTCTCTAGTGGTGCTGTGAAGGAGCAGTGATATTGGGCTATGAATATGAGTAGCTGCCCTATAAAAACAATGAGCCATCAGTTTTGTGTGCAGCAGCTCACATGCATTTTTAGCTTCCTGTTCTATTTATAGAATTTCTCCTTTTGCATGTTAATATTGCTTTGATGTTGAGAGCAGATATACTGCATGTAAACATTATAGTGTTTTTACAGCAAACTCACTCATCAAATGAACATAACTGGGGTACAGTATGGAGAATAGTAAATGGCATCCTGATGTCTTAGATGACTTTGTTTAGATTGCCATTACAGGAAGTGCCAGATCAGTACTTGTGAATTTCCAGTAATGACCTCATCATGATTGTTAGGAAAAGCGTTAACAACATTATCATGTAACCCAGGTGACTTGGAGTGACATTGCCGGTCTGGATGATGTGATAACAGACCTGAAAGATACCGTTATTCTTCCGATAAAAAAGAAGCATTTATTTGAGAACTCAAGACTGCTGCAGCCGCCCAAAGGTATTATGCGTTTTGCTATTACACATACATGTGTTTTATAAAATGTCTAATTTTATTTAATTTAAAGGTACCGGATTCCATATTAACGGCTTGCCGTCTGCCCGTTTTGTACAAACGGTCGAACGGCTCACTCTTGAGTGCGGGTCGCTGTACTTGCACAGCAATTTTTTTTCTCTCTTAATACGCGCCCCCTAGTGCATGCATGAGCAGTTCACTCTGAATACACTGTCCATTGGACAGTGAAGTTCACCAAACAAGGTGCAGAGACAATAAAATTGTCTCTGTACCATATGAGCACTGTGTTCAATCACCGCTGTGACAAGATGTAAACAATGGCTCCATTTGAAGCTTTTCACTACGACAGCTCCCTCCCCTTTCACCTTACCTGTAACCCCCTCTCTCACTAATCCTCAATCCTTCCACCCCCTCAGACTATAATTTCTCCAGCTGCTGTAGCCAGAGAGAGAGCTGATGAAGCACAGATCGATCTTCTTTGGGTTCCATAGGTGACATTAGTCATCTAATACACCCCTCATGTCTCCATAAAGAGGACCTGTCACATCCTCTTTGTTATCACATAGGGGGCTTATTAACCCCCTATGTGACAGCAATAAAAGTATACAAAAAAAAATTAGTCACATATAAAAAAAAAAAAAGAGTTTAGGACTACAGATGTAGGGTTGCACAGATACCAAGTACAGTACTCGGTACGTGTACATGTACCGATACTTTTGAGCTCCAAGACTACACTAGAGAAAAATTCAAAAATTAGGAGGCAGCTGTCATTTGTAAGGAGCACACGGAGCTCCTGGGATTTGTACATCTCTGTTTTAATGTACGATTTTGTTTTTATAAATAGAAATAAAGTGATGCACAGATACCAGTTTTACGAGTACTGGTACTTGCCGAGTACTTACAAGTACAAGTACTGATACATTTTTGTTTATTGTCATGTGACAGTTTTTCTAAAACAATACAGACTAATGATTTCAGGACAGTGGTGGAGTGCCAAAGCCAGGTCCCAGCTGCAACCGCTGCAATCCTGGTAGTTCTCATGAAAATGCCAAGTATCTGCACTGGTATCTGAAAAGTATCTGTGCATCCCTATACAGATGTTTTTAGGGTATGGTTTTGGATGTCTTTACATGCTTTTATATACTAAACATTCTACATAAGAGATCAGTGCTGGAAGAAAAGCCTGAATGAGGAAACAACAACCATAGTTACAACTGACATGGGTGGCTGATGCAGGAGGGGAAAGGAGGAGTGTACAGCTGTTTTAGAAGGAATAATAATGCACTTTTATAAACTCTCTGGAGTTCACCTACCACTTGTGGAAATGGCAGATTTTAGATCACTTAATCCAGTTCCACTAATTGCCGTTTGTTATAAGTTAGTTCTCATTAGTTTGCTCACTCTAACCTGTTAAAATGTGATTTTTAAATGGCTACCTCTGTTTAATATGTGCACTATTTACATGCAAATATCCACCCATTTTGGCTAATCATTCATTGTATACCATTGAATTGTATAGGTGTGCTTCTTTATGGACCTCCTGGATGTGGAAAAACACTGATCGCCAAAGCAACAGCCAAGGAAGCAGGATGTCGCTTTATCAACTTGCAGCCATCCACCCTGACGGACAAGTGGTACGGGGAGTCCCAGAAACTGGCTGCTGCAGTGTTTTCACTGGCAGTGAAGCTTCAGCCATCTATTATCTTCATTGATGAAATTGGTAAATTCCCCTATTGAGAATACCAGCAGTTTTAACTTTGAGGGCACATTTACATTTCTGCACTGCATTAATGCATGAACAATATGCCACATGTTATTGTGTGTTCAATTAAGGCATCTTCATCTTACACCACCTACCTGCCTAATATGCACGGTAGTTGTTTGCACACTGCTTGACAAGAAGGCAGATGTAGAAATGCAGTTTCACTACTACCAAGAGCTTCAAGGCGACAGCTCTTGGCTGCTGGGTGGAATAGTGGACATAGGGAATGACCCAGGTACTTCATACATATCTTTAAATCCTAATTACATAGGTTAAAAAAGACACAAGTCCATAGAGTTCAACCTATGAGCCTATGGGCTGTTGTATTGAAAGTTTAAGAGCATGGGGTATAAAAAGGCCATATCTTCCTACCACAATATATGGGCAGTGTATGGTGATAAAGTTTTACTCCACTTTCGTTTCTGGAGTTAATTGGGTTGCACATGTCTCCATAAAACATATTTTCACCTTTTTTCTTCCCTATCTATAAAGATTCTTTCCTTCGGAGTCGTTCAAGTACTGACCATGAGGCAACAGCAATGATGAAAGCTCAATTCATGAGTCTTTGGGATGGGCTGGATACGGATTATAGCTGTCAGGTATGTATATATCCATGGATAACAGCCTTTGTATAAAGAGTCCATAACAAATGATCAAGCATCTGAGATATCTCTGGGCTTCAGTTATTTGGACAGCAGTGTCAATCAGGTTCTTTTAGGTAGTTCCTGGCAGCCAACCTTATGTACAACTGGCCATAGCTGTGCTCTGAACAGTGAAAAAGCAATTGCATCAGTTTAAAAATGGCATGGTCAGTGGTAGTTCACAACAGAGTTCAATATTCATATTAAACAGCATTTCTAGCCAGTGGAATGGTCACATCCAACCTGTTTTGTTTCCAAAATTCCAAACGGAGATCTCGGTTGCCTACCGATTGGATGTGGAGAGTGCACACCTTGTCAAGGCATCTCTGTATTGTGTGGTCTCGCTCTAATTTCTCTCCCGTTCATTGAAGGACACAGGGAACAGATCGGAGATCATGTACTGTAGGGTAATATCGCCACCTGCAGGAGAAGGACGCTAGGCACAAAAAAACTAAAGACCAATTATAATGTGTCCTTCAATGAACGGAGAGAAAAGGATTTTACGGTGAGTACCAAAATCCTATTTTCTGAGAACTACAACAGTGTGTCAGGTAGCATTAAAGAGAGTAGGCATAGCGGAAAGCTACCATATTGTACCATATAGTTCCAAGTGATGTATACAAAAGTGTGTGTGTGTGTATGTTGTGAGAATTAGCTCCAAATGGTAGCACATTAAGGACACCTCCACTCACTTTTCACTTATTAAGGGCTTCTTTGCCACCTTTTATTAACGCAAAATTTTAAAGTAAAGTCCACACAGATGTTTGTTATTTACACTGAATAAGTGTATGTAAGTATGCAAGATTGTATTAGTCTGTGAACTCACCCCAAGGCCCACCATTATTATAAGAACAAGCAACATTGCCTGGGAAAATCCAGTACCAAATGTCAGGCAACAGTCATCATCTATGGGCACCTTTAGTCATGTGCTACAACCTGGTGCTTACCCTTATTCTGGATGGGACCTGTAGGTTCTGCTGTTTCCTCTCAGAAACTCGGGTAGAAATGATTCTCATAATTAGTATAAAAATGACTCCTATATTGGCAGTATTTTCCACCTTCATTTTATGGTCTGGTCTTTTTTTTTTACTAAAGTGATTTGTTGCAAGCCCTGGGAGAAATTTTAGCAATATATATACACATAGAGAAGCTGTAGTTGCGCTTTAGGGAAGTACATTCCTAGTAACCTTGAGTGGAGTTTTACCAAATAGTTATTCATTTTTTATTATTTTACATTCATGTATAAATGTCTTCATCTGTAGGTATTTTTTTTAAAGTTTTTATTGGAAATTTGCATCTTTGATAGTCTTGTATATAAGAATATCTGCATAGAAAAGCTCATACTGGACATCCTATATATTTTTTTAAATATAGGTGATTGTAATGGGAGCCACAAATCGTCCTCAAGATCTGGACACAGCAATTATGAGGAGAATGCCCACCAGATTTCACATCAATCAGCCGGTATGATCATTATGATGGGATGACAATGGCAGTTCCTCTTATTATTAATTGGCTTATTGAGTAGAACAGAATTTGCCAGTTGGTGGGGCACAGTGCTTTGTGATCCTCGAAGCCAGCTAACTCAGTTGAAATCGTCATTGTTCAGGGAGGCCACTTATGGGTCTGTTGTCTGCAGCACTCTTGTGTTCTGGTGCAGAGTGGAGACTTAACTGTTACTGCTATAATAATGTTTAGTCTAGGTACCGTGATAATATTTAATTGACGCAATAGAAATCTCCAACCTTACATGATCGTTTTGCCATGGATTTTAGTTGCTTTCCAGGGGCCAATTGTATTGTATTCCATTCCACATCTGCTCATTGCTGTGCACCTCCAAACACATAGCAAGTCCTAATGTCAGCCCTTAACTTCTGGGCTGCATAAATCTCTGCATCACCCACACCTTCCTCTGTGTCCTGGTCTGCACAAGGAATATTGTCATCAATCCGTTGGCATCACTAGTGGGCATTATCAGAAGTGGTCTGCATGCTAATACAGTCTGCTCAGAAATGCCCACTCCCAGAGGCTTGCTATCTGCATTATAGCTGCACATAGACACTGCCAGAACAGCACTATGTCTGCTGTTTGCAAAGGTAAGTATACCTTGCTGGCAAAAAGGTATTTTCCAAAATTCTTGTCTTTAAAATTAGCACAGCCCCAGCCCACACGTCGCTGCATACAGCGCTGTACTGTGACAAAGAGATGCCTTTCCTCTCTGCCCACTGGCCATGGCCTAGGGGAGTGGAAAAGACCTTACAAGAGGTCACATGACCAAACATTTTAAATGCCTTTTATACAAAGAATAAAACCTTTTGTAAAAACTGATCTTTGCTTAGTAGGTGAGAGAAAATAGCATGATGACTACTCCATACTCTGCTAGATACCAGCTTTGCTGTGGTTTCTGGTCTTTTGTGCCCATCCCCCTCCCTAACCTCTGCCCTATTCTAAGGCACAACATCCTGCTGTAGGGACTTACCTTAAGTGATGCCTCTTGATCCAATCATCTTTACTTTCCAGTAGTTTCCAGCAGTCCCTCCAGCGCTGGTGCCGGTCTCTAATTCCGCACTGACTGCTGTGTCTTCTGTGTCCCACGGAATCTGTGCGGGTGCACGCTGCCTGCATTGACTTACCTTGTGTTTCTCCTGTTCTCGCGGCTGAAGATTATTACTGTGCATGCACCCGCCCCATGATCCTTCGCGGCCGCACTAGAGTCTTCAGATCTTCGGACGGGAGCGTGCAGCTCCATTCTTAAACCATTTTTGCAGTGTGTCAGGGTGTAATATCCTGCGGAAATATCCTGCGGAAAGAGGCCACTGCCATTAGGGAATACCGTTTCCATGAAGGGGTAGTTATTACCTTTTTTGGTAACTTTTTTTATTTTTTCATGGTTTTGCATGTATGTTATTCTATATGCAAAAACACAGAAGGTTTAAATGTCCTTTAAGAGTTCTTGTTTTATTTTCTGTTGACTGCAAATATTCAAGTATGTTTGATAAAATATTTGCATAATATAGCTGTATTGAAATATTTTGAAAGTAACACTTGCTTACCTTTTTATGTTTTCTTGTTTTCTTTTTCAGTCTTTGAGACAGCGAGAAGCAATTCTTAATCTCATTCTAATGAATGAAAATGTAAGCAGCAATTTAATTTGTTCTGTTTGGTAAACCTATTTATAAATAGTTATATTCTAGATGGTGAGCTATTACAGTTTTGATTAGACTCTGTTATCCCTACAGCAAGATTTCCCAGTAAGATTCCAGATGCTAAGTATGCAGGCAGTGAAGTCACGACCGCTGACCTGTATGTCTGTTCCAGTGCAGTAACTCGCAAAGTACTGAGGAAAGGATTACAATGACAGCCCTACTACCTGGCACCTGTTTGAACAGCATGGCAATAGCATCTCCCATATTGTAGTTCTAAAAAGTTCCCTGTAGCATTTTTTTTTTATCTGGCTGGTTCAGATCTATGGGCTGCGGTTTAGTGTATTCTAAAAGGGAAATATATGGGCCCATTATATGTGCCTATTTACATGTATGCCTGCACTTTACAACATGCACTGCATACACACAAAACAGTGTGAATCCAGATTAGTTTGTCTAGATACACTGGACTCTGCTGGGTTGAGTGACAGCTAAATAGGACAATGTTATATACTGTACATAAAATATAATCAATATTATTGATATAATTCAGTAAGTGAGTGTTGTCTTTCTTTAATAGGTGGACCTGGATGTGGATTTGACGCAGATTGCGAGAAGTACCGATAGCTTTTCTGGAAGTGACCTAAAGGAAATGTGTCGGGATGCTGCTCTGCTATGTGTCAGGGAGTGTGTTGCCAGGAGCACGGAGGAAAGGTTTGTGTGCCAGCGAATGTACTGCTAATGTACAGCACTCATCACCTAGACTAACTAGGGTTCAATATGTGCTGAGCACAGAAGGGTGACAATAGTACCCCTCTAGAAATGGCATCTTTGGCTTGTGCCCAGGTTTTTTTGCGGAGTGTAGTTAACTCAGGAAAAGAAACGTCTTTTAATTCCCCGGCAGGGTGTTGCTGGATTTGATCTAAACTCAGTTGACCTCAAATTTGCTCAGACATTTCAATAGTGACAGTTTGTACTGTATTAGTTCATTTGTGAAAATGTATACACTGATCAGCCATAACATTATAACCACCCGCCTAATATTGAGTAGGTCCCCCTTTTGCCACCAAAACAGCCCTGACCTGTCGAGGCATGGATTCCACTAGACCTCTGAAGGTATGCTGTGGTATCTGGCACCAAGTTGTTAGTAGCAGATCCTTTTAAGTCATGTACGTTGCCAGGTGGGGGCTCCATAGATCAGACTTGTTTTTCCAGCACATCCCAGAGATGCTCGATTGGATTGAGATCTGGAGAATTTGGAGGCCCAGTCAACACCTTAAACTCATTGCTGTGATCCTCATACCATTCCTAAACCATTTTTGCAGTGTGTCAGGGTGCATTATCCCCTGGAAACAGGCCACTGCCATTAGAGAATACCGTTTCCATGAAGGGGTGCACTTGGTCAGCAACAATGTTTAGGTAGGTGGTACGTGTCAAAGTAACATCCACGTGAATGGCAGGACCCAAGGTTTCCCAGCAGAACCAGCCCAAAGCATCACACTGCCTGTGCCAGGTTGCTTTCTTCCCATAATGCAACCTGATGCCATCTCTTTCCCAGAAAAGTGGCACACACAAATCCGACCATCCAAAATATGATTCATCAGACCAGGCCACCTTCTTCCATTGCTCTGTGGTCCATTTCTGATGCTCACATGCTTTTAGCAGTGGATAAGGGTCAGCATGGGCACCCTGACTGGTTTGTTGCTTTGCAGCCCCATACGCATTTCTATCGGAAACAGCATTAACTTTTTCAACAATTTGAGCTACAGTAGCTCTTCTATACGATCAGACAACATGCATCAGTAAGCCTTGGCCATGACCCTGGTGCTGCTTCACCGGTTTTCCTTCCTTGGACCACTTTTGGTAGGTACTGACCACTGCAGACCAGCAACAACCCACAAGAGCTGCAGGTTTGGAGTTGCTCTGACCCAATTGTCTAGCCATCACAATGTTGCCTTTGTTAAAGTCACTAACATTTTTATATTTGCCCATTTTTTTCTTCATCCAACACATCAACTTCAGGGACAAAATGTTTACTTGCTACCTAATATATCCCCCCCACTTCCAGGTGCCATTGTAACGGGATAGTCAATGTTATTCACCTCACCTCTCAGTAGTCATAATGTTATGAATGATCGGTATATAGCATATTGACTGTCTAAATATCGATTTCTTTAGCTGAGCTTTTTATGATTGTAATTTTACCAATATGTCCACCCATGAACCATTGGTAATGAGTACGGGGCAGAATGCACTAAGGTATATGTATAGCATGGCATTTGCAGAGCTTTGTATTTTGTGGTGTATCTGCATTGTTTTCATCTTTTGTCCATACCTCCAATAAGCTAGTGACATCTGTTTCTCCGTTCCTCTGCAGTCCCATTGAGGAGATACGGCCAATTCAGCAGCAAGATCTAATGAAAGCCATTGACAAAATGAAGAAATCGAAGAATGCAACCAACCTGGGAGGTTTAATGCACGTTAGTTTGGACTGAACTCTGTCACCTGACCTCACCCAAGCTATTAGCTAGAAGGGGACATGTAAGGGACAATGCACTAGGAGGGAAGAGCACCATCCTAATGGACTTCAGCCTCCACTGCTGGACTCCAGCATCAATTCACTATAAAGTAAAGAGCCTTGCAGAGGGGAAACCATGCCTCTCTGGTTGTGTTGTGTGAGCTGCTGACATTGATTGAAATGTTTGAATGAGTATGTGTCATGTTTACCTTATAAGATTACCATGTCTGTGTGTGTATTGACTAGCAGCATTCCAACAAAGGGACAAAACCAAACCTACATTGGGCTGCTGTATACAGTGGCGTGCAAAGGGGATCTGTACTTAGTTCTTTTTTCATACTAAATAACCAGTGGATATTCAGTATTTTTTGGCCATGATTTGATCTATTGTAAAATATGGACGCACTGCAATACTTTTATCTTTCAACTACAACTAGGTAAATCTAAATGTACAAGTGAGATTTAATGTGAACCTGTCATGTCCACCAAGATGTGTTAGCTGTCATTACTGATGAAGTCCAGGCACCCTGCAAGGGAGTCTGTGGCCATTATAGGCTCTGCTATTTCACAGGTAAAGGATGGGACGAGGCCTAGCACTAGGAGGTGATGGGGCTTAACATTGATTTGGAGAGAAGTCAAAGCACTGTGTAGACCCTGGGCCTAGGATCCAATGACCTCCCCAGATACTAAGGAACCGATCTGAAGATGAAAACATGTACTGTTCGTTTATATACTCTTTGGGGGCTTGAACAATTCCATTATATTCAAGACCAATATAGAGGAATTCCTTTTTTTTATAGGTATGCCATTCTTATTCGTGTTAGCAGTGTTTGGGTCCTAATCGTTGCCCCAGATTTTTGGAAACCAGTAAAGTGGTTACCAGATGAATCTATTTTAGTCAAATGCCAGAATTAAGCTGGCTATATACCTATGGGTTTTCAGCATATTTTCTATGGTCAAGATTGAAAAAGTGCAACAGATTCCTCCAACTACATTAAACTGTGTGGATGGAGGAATCTTCCACTGGGCCAAGCTTCAGTATCTTGCTAGTCAGACCCGCTGACTCTCAAAACACCTGAACAATGCCTGCATCCAATCAGACTGTTCAGGTATTTTGACAGCCAGCGTGTCTGACTAGCAATATACTGAAGCTATAGGTGTATGGCCAGCTTTAGGGATGGTCTAACTAGGGTAGACCTACAAAAATATTTACAGGGCAACAGTCAAGAAAAAAAAGGCACTTGGGTACATAAATAACATTAGATCTATAATTGCATGTTTAATTAGTACAAAATAGGGTTATGGAAAGCTTCAGCATGGAGATGACCGAGCTGTATGAATAGAGACGTGCATGAGGGGTCTGGTAAGATTAAAAAAATAAGTCAACTAGTAAAATCTTTGCATGTAACATTTGCATTCCCTGTTTACGTTCCTCTATAGACACATTTTACTGGATCCCTATAGGACATGGAAGGCAAATTGCACTGGATTTCCTGTTTGAATGTATTGTCTCTAAATGTGACTTTAGAAGACAACTGCCTTGGTCATCATTTGGGTAGGGCAACTTATCAACATGACATTCTTTTCATATTATCTGAGCAGGTTTAATTGGTCAAAGAGAATATCTTGTGATCTCAACATAGTTCATTTTTGTAGAACCTGCCCGGGCTGAAGTAGGTAATTATGCTACAAACTATTATCTCACAAAGCAGTAGAAGTGTGCAACTGTGCCACTTAAATAGCTCACGCCTCAAAAACCTGCAAAAGTAAATGTAAAAAGAAAGAAAATACATTTTCAGCTAGCTAAAGAAATGCTGTCACCATGTAGGGCAAAATGAAGGTCCCTCTGACCCCTTTATAGTCTCCCTTGATGCTCCTTCCTCCTCCAAAGCCGTCCACAATGCAGGAGCATGTGTCTTTTATCTTCTGTGACAGTGCTCAGGCCTAGAAGCCAATCACTTAGCCCAAACACTGTCACATGTCCAGGGGAGTGTTGTCGCCGACACCAGTGATTATAGTGCTGACTGCGGAAAAGAGATCGCAAATACGGCGAGTATAGGGGGTCTGAGGGGCCCTTTGCGGAGACACTGTCATTTTGCTCTGCGTAATCAAGGTGACAGGGTCACTTTAAAAGGTACACATTTCATTTTTTTCCAATGCAGTGACCTTTTTATGCATAAAAATATCTGACGAACAGCAACAAAAGTCTCCCTCTCATGTCTCAATTTTTTTTTTAATAAGAGAATGGGAAATAATTGTGGTTGCTGTAGGCTACAGGGACTGGTTTTCCTTAGACATATGTAACATGTAATTGCGTCAATGGGCACTCAAGGCGTGTTCTCTCATGCAGTCTGGAATGTTGATTGCAGCACCATACTTCTGTAGGCACCTTTAAAGTTCACCCACACTTGAGTGTTTAATACAGGGGTAGGCAACCTCAGCACTCCATCTCCGGTGAAACGTCAAATCCCGTCATGCTTCTAGAATCTTATAATGCCTCATGGGATTTGTAGTTTCACAACTGGAGTGCCGAGGTTCCCTTCCTGTTTAATAGCTTCTGCAAATTATAATGACCCCTTGTTAAATGTCACCTAGATTGAAATGATTGTATTATTGCAAATGAGGCAATGGTCATTCAAGTTATTAAATCTCATGTTTACAAAACACCTCATTGTGGGCTAAATTCCCTGGCCAGTTTTATTCCGATATTACTGGGCCCATTAACCACTATTTGGAAGTCGCCACATTTTCTTTGCTGATTTTTTATTTATTTTAAATGCGTTGAAGGTGAAATGAGCACCCTCAAGCGGTTTAATCCCGAGAGAATGGGTAAAAGCGCCAGCAGTTTCTGATACCGTGTATTCCCATCTTTTTTTTTTTTCAAGTATAAAATACGGAATGAATCAAAAACGTTTTGTTCCCATCATTGTCCTGTCCAATTGTGGTGTTTGATGGCATCTTGTCAAATGTGGTTTTGTAAAGACCATATCATTGCTGATTGTCATGGATTGCTTGCTACATATACTTGTTTTTATGATGTAAGTAAGAAACGTTTGCTGCCATGGTTCATTGTTTTGTTTTTACTATCACTCTGAATGTATCACTGAAGTGTGTGTACATTAAACTAATGTACTGAAAGGACTCTTCTCCCTGCTATACATCTGCTGAAAGAAATGTGCAGTGTTTCCTCCCACAGGTAAAAAGTACAGAGGGAAGCAGACATCAGAGGGTGAGTCAGATGACATTTCTACTGCTCACACTTGAATATTCTAGAAAACAAAACTCGTTACTGAAATGCAAAAACAGATTACACTCGGCTCTCCTGTAAAAGCGGAACACTGATCCATAGACAAATATCACTGGTTATTGTGGAAATGCAAATCCAGCTTACAGTCGGCTCTCTTGTAATAGCAGAACTCTGATCCATAGACAAATCTCACTTAAAGTACACCTGTCACGAATGACGGGTATAAGGAAGCCGATGCACACAATCTTGGCAAAGGATGAGGATCCGCACTTGCCAAGTTCCAGATTGTTTTATTGTTCTATGAATAAGCATGCTGAGGTGTAACTGTGTCGAAGTATTTCAGTAAAAACCTGCCATAAATGATTTCCAATTTCAATCAAACTGAATTTGGCAGAACTTTGTGGTATGGCCAGCGGTGTACTGACGGCCGATCGTCACCATCAGCACACACCCCCGGGGTTGACGCCGCCTCCCTATCAGCACAAGCCTCCATAGACAACCCCCTCCGACGATCACTCACCCGGCATTCAAAAGCGCCGCTGCCTGCTGGACAGCGCCGCAACCCGCCGTCCTCGTCCCCGCCGCTACGATGGCCTCCGGTTCTCTTCCCTTGATAAAATTTGTCAAGGGGAGAGAACCACAGCAAGTGCCGCTCTCAGGGAATCTGCCGCTCCAGGCAAACGCCTTGTTTGCCACACGGCAGATACGCCCCTGGTTATGGCCTGGCAGGCTGTGATCCTGGGCGCCTAGGTGCCAGCAAGGTTTGCTTTGAATGATATCAGGCTGTTATATTCCAATCAGTCTGATCTGTTAATGTAACTCATCGCAGCAAACACAGAAATTCTTCCAGGTCAGTGACTAGGAGAATTAAAACAGTGGATCAGGATAACTGCCAGTCACGCATTTTCATAAGCAGGTCGGCAGTGGCAGCCCATGTATCTCTTATGACGGGTATCGTTTAAGTTGTATTTAGGAAACCTGTACTAAGAAATAGAAAGGCTGATATTGCTGAATTGTATTTTCTTCAAATGCCTGCCATTTTCTGACTTCTTTGGGACACCAGCCTGAAAAAAAATAGAATAAGGAAAATTGGAACATTTAGGGGCTTTTTCCTGCTATACGTGTGCGGTGCTGTGCAGAAATATGCAGCTCAATGGACATGGTATTTTCAGGAGATTTTAGTAGGGGGGTCACTTCCTTATATATTCACTGCAGGTTTCTTATAACCTTTGACAGCCATATTGTGAAGTCAGACGTTAGTGGATATCCTGCATGTAGCATTATCTGAAAAGGCTTTGCTCCATGAACAGTCATGCTCAGTATTATTTTTCTTGGTAAGGAATAAAGGGAAGACATGCAATGTGTGTTGGAAAACAAAGGAAATCATTTTTTCACCTTCACTTTTTTTTAATTTGTTGTAGCTCAGTTCCTTAAAGAGTTTACAACCCCCACCCCACCCATTGGCCTTCACTTATTGGCTCCCTTTTGATCTGATTAACATACAGTTGTAAGCATTTTGTTATATCAGTTCAGTAAGTGCCAAAAAAAAAAAAGTTGTAGTTTGTCCATACTTCCTGTGTTATCTCCCAGCCCTCCACATTCTTATGGAGGAGTACATAATGATTTGTTTTTATGTTAGAGATCTGAGAGTGGTTAAGTAGTTTAGCAATAGACACAGAGCGTGGCTGGCTCCTTGCTCCTTGTGATGTCAGCTCACAATAGGACTTTTGTGCAGATCAACAGGTATTTTTCTGTCCTTTCAGTGTGTTTAAGGCGATGAAACGTGTAGAAAAGTGCATGTATTAGGGTGGCCATACACCTTGCAACCATTGTACAACTTTTGTCCAGACATCTCACCCTCATTCAATTTTCTTACAACTAGCCCATCATGTTCAGACCAATGTAGTTAACAATTAAAGTTTGTCAGCACCTCCACCTGGCTGATTTTCATAGATTGAAAGGACAGATTTTTGTTTTGAGCATGTGCCGTTTTCATCTTGAGGTTTTTGTTGTACACCACGCCACTAACCTGTCAATTTGTTTCGTCTAAGTAGACAAACATTTTCTAGTCTGCTTGAAAGAAGAAAATCTGCCAGTTGTACAGTAATTGAGGTTGTGCACTTCCCATCAACTGGAAGGTTTTCTGATGAATATGCAATCGAAGACAAACATCTCCAGATAATTGTAAAGTGTATGGGCACCTTTACAGAGATGTATAGCATATGGTTTTTTTTTGCTTTAACATCTCTCTTGTTAAACAATATCTAAACCAGTACTGCAACGTCATTTGTGTGCTTAATTCAAGTCAAGAAAATATATTTTCTTAACTCATTAACTATTAAATTTTAATGGGATTTAAAAAAAAAAAAAAAAACTTTATCCAGCAAATAGCCTTTTATTTGCATTTATGATATACAGAATGTATGTGCCCTTTGTTTGTTTATTTTTGATAGAGTAGGGAAGGGTTGGAATCCTTGTCAGGTTTTTTTTTTTTATTGCTCCTTGTATGTTTATGAGAATTTTTTATTTACTTCCTGTCCTGGAGCCACAACAGGAAGTGAAAGAAAATCCCCAATTAGCTTGTCAAATGTCTCTTTGGAAGATTTTGGATTTTTCATCACTTTCTGACCAGCTGACAATGTTGACTAGGACAGATAGAGGGGATGAACAGCAGTCAATAATAAAAAAAGGATGGTTTTAGATTTGTTGTTCTCAGCTAAGGCAAGTTTTTGAATGTGTACACTGCTGTAAAAAAAAAAGCCAACCACGTATCAACCTTTTGAATTGTAAACAAACAAAACACAAGCCAAAAGTTAAATGTATAAAAATGTATTTGTATGCATACTAGTAGTATATTCATGTGGCATTGAGAGAGACAATTGGTAAACACATTGTGGAAAAGGCACATGAGAATTGTGTCTCACCTTTCAATAAATACACATTTTATGAAGTGACCAAAAATTACAATGCAATCAAAATACACAAATCAAGCACGCAGACGTTCCTTTACATTGACAACATGGATCCTTCATAATGAATACAGAAGAGTGCTACATCCTTATGCCGCAGTATGTCAAAGATCTTATATTCCAGCCCAGTGACAGATCATCATCCCTCCAGTTATGGAAGAGCTATATCTCACGCAATGGCAGCAAAGGAAAAGAATTTCATACACAAAAGACACATTTGGTCCATTATTACAATACTTGTACATAGAATTATATTTTTAAAAAGAATCTACAAAAGTCATTTTTTTTCTTAAATACAAATCTGTGCAGGCAATTGCCAAACAACAAATGCAGATCTGCAACATTATTTACAAAATAAACATGTTTGTCAAAAGTACAGCATCCAGTTTTCTCCATTTTTATTCCTATATGTTTTGAGGGAACAGGATAAAGCCTTTCTAACATGATGTCATTATCGGTTTTATAGCTTGGAGATGGGCTTTTCACTTTCATCTGAGGCTTCTGACTAGGGGTGCCAACCCCTCCGGCCCTAAACACCTGACTAGGGGTGCCAACCCCTCCGGCCCTAAACACCTGACTAGGGATGCCAACCCCTCCGGCCCTAAACACCTGACTAGGGGTGCCAACCCCTCCGGCCCTAAACTGACTAGGGGTGCCAACCCCTCCGGCCCTAAACTCCTCACTAGGGGTGCCAACCCCTCTGGCCCTAAACACCTGACTAGGGATGCCAACCCCTCCGGCCCTAAACACCTGACTAGGGGTGCCAACCCCTCCGGCCCTAAACTGACTAGGGGTGCCAACCCCTCCGGCCCTAAACTCCTCACTAGGGGTGCCAACCCCTCCGGCCCTAAACTCACTAGGGGTGCCAACCCCTCCGGCCCTAAACTCCTCACTAGGGGTGCCAACCCTTCTGGCCCTAAACTCCTGACTAGGTGTCCCAACCCCTCCGGCTTTAAACTCCACACTAGGGGTGCCAACCCCTCCGGCCCTAAACTCCTGACTAGGGGTGCCAACTCCTGCTCTAAACTCCAAGTTATTATTTTTTTAAGCAAGACAAGACTATGTGCTTCTGGCTCTGCTTTGTCCCTCCCTCTAACTTTCCTGATGTCAGCTTATGACAAACCGTGCATACATTGTGCTGTCCTATTGGGCTCTGACTCTTACCCATTTTTAAACAAAAGGTGGTAAGAAGGCGCATGTCAGAATCCAGCCAAGTTTACATCTGTTCAGATACAGCAGTACACTTCTATGCAGATCCAACTCAGGAAAAGTTGATGGTTCCCGAGCCTTGTAATGGCAATGTACAAAAAGCAGAGTTCTGATTATTTGAAGCTGATGAGAGATTTGTTTGTATATGATATGTTTTACAGTGTTTCATTTCCCAAATATCAGATTATTTGAAGAAACCAGTTGCCTTACTAAAGTACATGTTGAAAGCAATTCCCATAAGGTAGCCATAAATATAAGGTCAGATCATCTGTGAATGGAAATCACACCCTTTGATGATCCTCCCTTTACATTTACAATCAGTGCCTACAAGGCAGAAATCTAGAGTGCCTATTTGCTTTTATTCAGCTGTGCATTTTCAGCAGCTGACATCCAGTCAGCTCATATGGTTGTACTCACGCAATACATGAGGTGGTTATCTTATGAGTGAGCTGGAAGCATACGTACTGGTTTACAGTCTTGGTCCATGCTGGGACCTTTTCACATGGGCGCCTGTCAGTTCTGATTAGCAGGGGATCTGTGCATGGATCTCCTACTGATCGGAGCCGTTCTGAATGGATGTCACCGTTGTAACATCCATGTCTGTCCAGTTTTTTCCTCCAAACAGAACTTATCAGACCCATGTTAGGTGTATGGGGAGTAGGATGTAAACGGACCATCACATCAGATTACCTCTGATCCACCATGATCAGGTACGCCAAAACGGAACTCTGTTCAGTTTGTTTCTTTACCTGGACAGAGTCGGAGGGTAAATGGACGCACATCCGTTTAGATCTGGCTGTATATAGACAAACACTGGGCTTCCGATCCAATTCAGCTGAAGAAGTGTCAGGTGGACCTGATCTGAATGCCTGTCTTCAAGGGACCTAAGGCTACCATGAGAAAGTGCAGACAATAACAATGATTGGCTAAATTCGCTACACAATGGATCATTCTTATAAAAAAAATGTCCTAGTCTTTTGGGACAATCATTGGTATAGAATGTGCAGTATGACCCACGTCTACACAGGCAGCTGCAGTGATCAGTGTTGTGTGACTACTGGGCAAGGAAATCATGTTCCAAGGCATACATTGTTTATAATAATTGTATCTATAGCCACTGTACAGTACTGTGTGTACCCCCTCTAAACCCCTCTCCAGAGCAGAGGCAAGACAAGCCAGACATTTTTGGAATTCACCAATCCATGCATTCTATAAATCACTCCTGATTCCACTGTGAAGTCACTAGTTAGAAGATGAATCATGGTGGTGCCAGCAATGGCCATGATTATTTGTGTAAGGAAGGAGCAATTGAAATATTTTTCATATATACTAAAATGAAAGCATCCCATAGATCATTGAATTACATTATTCATAAGGTGCTTGAATACAGATATCAGAGAGGCCTTACCGGTTAGGTTTAACTTTGTAAGAATAACATTAAAACCAACTACAGACAAAACATTTTTTCATTATGGTCCATTGAGGGACACAGAAATTTTTAGGCTGCCCGTTTCTCCTGTAGGTCGCAGTAAACCCAGCAGTCTAAAAATTCCTGTGCCGCTTAATGGGCTCCAAGAAAAGGATTTTATGGTCAGTACAAACATGCTATTTTTCTTTTTAGATCTGGATAGAGCAGGGAAGGGGTTGCACCACTGCTGGGTTTTTATTACTGTCTGTGGTCCCATTAGGAAGTTTTCACCTCACTTCCTGTCCTGGTGAATGTAGAAAGGTGAGGGGAAACTATCTAACTAAGAACAGGAATCAAAATTGGACATGTTCTTTCCATTTTTCTAAAAATAAAAGTGCTTTATTATGGTCTGCATCTCCATTGAATATAATGCTTCTTAGGTCATGCACAGCAATAACATCTGATTTAGGATGCAGCCCTTCCAAACTTTGTCCAAAGCTACAAAAAAACCCTCAAACCTTTGTATTCAAGTTCTCTGAACACTATCTGCAGCATCTTACAAAATTAATTACTGAAAAATAGATGCAAATCCATAAATGCCAGTTACTGCAATATCAAAAATGGCACAAACATGTAAATGTACCTACTCATCCTCAGTGTTAGTGATCCACTGGGGGGATTTAAAGGGCACTAGAAAGTTTAACTCTTTAAATGAAACAATTTAACCTATAAAAATAGTGATAAGAAATGTATTTGAAGCTATAAAAATTATGTGTTTTTACTAACTATCATAGGAATAGATTTCATACATTCAGTTCTAAAAAACATAAAATCTTAAGACTAAAACATTATTTGCACCGGAGTTTGTTCAAATCAACAATTCTTTTCTAGAGAGCAATAATAGTCCGTCAGGACTTTCCAGGCCTTGAGGGCCATAAAGCCATCGGGGGGGTTTTCACCTTCACGTGCCAGTTTTCTCATCCGAGTTCCAGAGATGAAGTCAAACTCATTGTGCCTGGAAAGGAGTACAAGGGTCAGGTACAGAAAGAAAGTGAGTGAAATCTGTTATGTAATAGGGGATGTTACTGGACAGTCATTACAATGGTTTATCTCTAATATTTCAGGAAGCTGGCAGAATTGTGTCCCCATGTCTTGTGTATATTGGGTTTGCTAAAGACACACATCATCAATTTGCTGTATTTATAAGAGAACTATGGGGTAGGTGTTTTTCCCCATCGTTCTCTTAAGGGTCACGGGAGGACACGGGATACTAACCTCAACCCATGACCCAAAGCTCAGTATATCGCGAGCTACAGCTTGCAGTATACTGAGACCGCCGCAGCCGGGATGGATCCCAACAATATTGTCGAGATCCACCCAGCTGCGTGAAAGATAGTGGGCTCTGCCTAGCTAGAGGCAGAGCCAGCTGTACCCGCCCGTTCCTCTTCTCAGTGCTGGAGGATCGGGGAGGGGGGGGGATCCTTGTGGGGAGCGGTGACTGACAGTCACCACTCGCTGCAGGGACAGGATCGAGAAGTGAGCGAGTGATGGTATGTGTTCGCTCACTTCCTGATCTATTGAGCCGACGTGTGATAGTTTCATTGTCACACGTCGGCTCGAACTATGAGGATGTGATTTTCATTTTTTTTCTTACCTTTCTTTATCGTAGAATTCCATGCTTCGGGTCTTGGCGTTGTAGGCTGCCACTCTAAAGGGAATGATTTCTACAGAGGTCAAGCCTGGTGCCATGCTGAGCACTTTTCCCCCATGGGTTGGCTCATACAGGTCCTCCTTAGTTTCAGGATGAGGCATGCCGGCTGGATCTCTCCCCACAATATAAAAGTTGGATCCGGCGATCATACGAGCTCTGCAGTGCCACTGAACCTGTAACAGAGGGAGATATAAGAGATAATGAAACAAAAGCATCTTTCTAGAATACAGAACATACATAAGTAGTGTTAAGCTGGCCATATGCTATACGAATTTTGGCCGGTTCTTGATGAACCGGCTTAAATTTGCACATTGGGTGCCGCTGTCGGCACCATTTCAGCCGGCATCCCTCGATCAGCTGATGGAAGGAGCTGGTTGTAAAATCTTCGAATGAACAGAGCTGTCAGCCAATGAGGGAGCGGCTCTGTTCGGTTATCCTGGCAGCACCTGGCAATCACTGTCAAAATGCAATGCAAACAGCGGGAGATTCCTTGATCAATGTTCTTAAGCATTGATGGAGGAATCTTATATTTTCTTCAATCAGCCAACGGGATGAATGAAGAGAATATTACAGTATATGGCCAACTTTACAGATCAGAGTGGTAGAGCCATGAAACAGGCACGTTTACTAAACATCACCATTTCCATGTTGATGAAAAGGGTCAGACAAAACTGATATTTAAGTTTTTTTAATACATGCAAGACAGCTAAATGACATTCTCATATCTTCCTGGGTCTGCACCCCTGCTGTGATCATTATGGGGAGTTCCTGCTTGGTTGAGTCAGACCACCAGGCTTTACCAATAACTAAAATATCACTTGGGGGGGGGCGTTATAGTTTAAATTAGGGATGCACAGATACTTTTCGAGTACCAGTGCAGATACTTGGCATTTTCATGAGAACTACCAGGGTTGCAGCGGTTGCAGCTGGGGCCTGGCTCTGGCACTCCACCACTCTCCTGAAATCATTAGTCTGTATTGTTTTAGAAAAACTGCCACATGACAATAAACAAAAATGTATCAGTACAAGTACTTGTAAGTACTCGGCAAGTACCAGTACTCGTACTCGCAAAACTGGTATCTGTGCATCACTTTATTTATAAAAACAAAATCGTACATTAAAACAGAGATGTACAAATCCCAGGAGCTCCGTGTGCTCCTTACAAATGACAGTTGCCTCCTAATTTTTTTATTTTTCTCTAGTGTAGTCTTGGAGCTCGAAAGTATCGGTACATGTACTCGTACTTGTACCGAGTACTGTACTTGGTATCTGTGCAATCCTACTTTAAATCATAGACTGTTAGTAGTAAGTTATTCTTTGGGTGCTTTTACCTATCTATATGTAAATGTGCAACTCTGCAATGCCTGAAAACTTATTCATAATGAGGATGGGGGGCATTTAAACATAAAAATAAATATGTATTTCTATATTGAAGTTCTATCCCAACCCTTATAACCATATCAAGCTAGACATTTGTAAACTTACCTATTGAAGATGCCCAGAGAATGTACTTCCTCAATGCACTGACACAATGTCATTCAGCCCTGTGAATATGCACTTGCTTGTGGAAATTCAATAGAAAGACACTCACATTCCAATATCCATTTGGAGTGAGAGTGACTTTCTACTGAATTTCCATATGGTTAGCGGAGACATCTGCTGTCAGTGCGGCACCCACTGTGCTTTTGGGTTTCTTTCCGGACAGGACACATTTTGTCTTAAGTTATGCACTTGCTTGTGTCACTCTAAGCCTGCTGTCTGAACTACAACTCAACATCTGAACTTCCCTTAGTGCAACATCATCACTGCTTGCTGAAAGCAATGCATGAAGGGATATGTAGTCTTGAGAAATCGAGGCTGCATAACATCAAGCAGCACAGAAAAAGATGCAAAGCACACTAGGAGTCCAGGAAGTTGTGGAAAGTTACATTTATTACTTCAATTCTGATGTTCTACCTAGGGCTGCAACTTACTAAATCGATAATGAGAATAGTCTCAACTATTCTCATTATCGATTAGTTGGTTGGATCCCCTAGTTCTCTCCTCCACGCTGGGAGGTGGGCACAGCAAGCAGTGGGTGTGTGCAATAGCCAGCCTGCTACCCGCTGTATTTACATTCAGATGCGGAATCTTGCCACCGACAGCTGTTGTTCCCTGGCTGAAGCTATTCAAGCGCCATGTGCTTACAATACGGTTTCGGCTTTACAAATTCTGCTGTGGGAGGCAAATGCACCTCCCACCAACCCCACAGTGTGATTGCCTGCACGGTACTGCAATGCTTGCTGCTATGAAACAAGACTCCGCATCCCATGCCAGCCCCCTTGCTCACATAATACGTTGATCAGGTGGCAGATAATGTGGATACTATTAGTTCCATTGCGAGGGCAGAAATCAGGCTGGGGCAGCACACTGCAGCCTAAATTATAGGTACTGATCAAGAGCATCACTAAACTGCTGTCCAACAGTATGTTCACTTTATTTTTTTATATAATTTATTAATTATGCATAATAAGACAAAGAAAAGGTTTATTTCACCTCAGTGGGTCCTGCATACAGCATTGGAGACGGAAAAATGGCAACAATGGTTGACTTGGGATCCAGAACGGCTTCTTCCAGCACAGCTGCATGCTGTTTCATGCGCCAGTCCAGTGGAACATCATCATCTTTGGTCCACCCTCCCAGAGGGTGTAAGAGAAGCACAGGGCTCTTATAACCCCTATCCAGCAGATGACGCTTGGTGTCTTGCATCAGCAATGCATGTCCGTTATGGACAGGGTTACGCAGCTGGAAAGCAAAGACTGCATCTAAGGAAAGGGGAAAAAAATTAAAATGTAATTTAATCGCTTACATTTGTAACCAATTACGTTATTTAAATTAATTACGATCATGTTAGCTCAAAAGACCATCAGCCATATTCATTAAAACAGTGTAAAGAATAAAGAGCTAATGGCTACTGATCAGAATCCATATTGTGCGGCTTGTCATGGATTATAGCACTTTGCCCCTGGCACTGTTCACTAAATAATCTTGAGGTTTGTGATCAGTACTGCAAACTGGATTCGGTGGTACATGAGGGCATGTTAATCAACGGAACGCCAAAGTAAAGTTACAGATTAGATTAGTTTATCACTGAACAAACAGAACTGCAGCATTGAACTCCATTAGTGAATAGTCCACCTCACAACACTGCAAGAAAGGTAATATAAGGACATAATCTGTAATATTTTAAGAGCTATAAAAACAGCTATTCACTACATAGAATACACACAGTGGTAACTTTAGTTCGACATGCTAGACATACTATGCTAGATGCAACAAGTATCTCAAGTGCTGCCTTTTCTGCTCTGATTAGCAGAGCCCCCAAATATTGTTTTATCACCACTAGAATAAACAAAGTAACCAATACTGTACAAGCTGTTACAATTAGGGATGCACCGATATATCGACACAATGCCGAAAGTGCCATGGTCTGGCCAATACAGCGCTGCATCCAATCGATTCTCTCCTCCCCGCTGCTCTGTGTCCCAGCGGGGAAGAGAGGAACTGTGACAGGTGGCCGAGCAGAGCAGTGTGTGGGCGGAGACAGCCAGCGCCATCAAAGCAGGCTGAGCTCTCCTCCCTGCTTCGCTCGCTCCACCTCCTGTGACAGCGTGTCAGGAAGGAGAGCAGGTACAAGCACTCAGTGATCGCTGAGTGTTTGTACATAATTGAGGACAGAGTATGGTCACTATATCCTCAATTATGAATGAATGGGAAGTGATCTACATCACCTCTTCATTCATAATTGTAGTTATAGTAAACACACCATGTTTTCAAGTTATGAATGAACAGGAACAACAGGGGATGCAGAAAAGGAGATAGAGGACTCTGTGTCCTCAATCGCTTTTTCTATTTCGGTTTCATTTCGGTTTTGACATTTCGGTGCACCTCTAGTTACAATGACATAAGAAGAGTATTCGTAAATATCTACAAAAACATTGGTGTACCTGCATTCATTTCTTTAGCCTTTTGTCTCAGCTCAAGAGGAGTCAGACGATATTGGTCCAAACCATCTTCCCATCTGATTCTTTCCAGGGCCTCCAGATCTCCACCAACCAACCAATCTCCACTTTCCAGTACCATCTGAAATGTAAAAACAAACATTTGAATATAGTTTTGTTATTGGCCTACACGCACTTGCACACAATCACATAATATTTTTAACATCTAGTCCACAGCATATTGTTTTAGTTGCTGGACAATGAATTCTGGAGGACAAGTATGATTTTACATATATAAATTAAAGAATCTACAACAACAGAGGTGTCGATGAATCAACATAAAGGCATAAAAACCTTTCATAGACTATATCTCTAACATTGCTTTCTTTCCCTGATCACCTTCATTCCAAAACACTTTTGCTGCCTTATCTCTTTTATCTAGTTCTCCTCTTTTTGGATTATAAGCTCTTTTGGTCAGGGGCTGTCACTCCTGCCGTTTACTGTTTTCATTATAGATCCTTTATGTTCTCACTCTGCTGCATGAGGTTGTTCAGGCTGAATAAATCAATATTCATGCAATGTATGTTATTGTTTTGATGGCTATACATAAAATATATTCAATCTTCTATTTGAGAAGTATAACAGGCAGAATACAAAATAGGGGAAAGCATCTGCAGTTCCTTTTATGCTATGTACATTTTTATTATATGAAGATTCCACCAAATTGTTGGGAGGGTAGATGGGGTGACCTGGTTGGTTAACACCACTCACCTCTCCATAATTATATCTTAAAAAAATAAATAAAAAAACTTCTCCAATCATTGGATTTTCACAATGCCGCACTGCATTCAAAGACCTACACATGACCCCTTAGTTCTGGTTGTAGCAATGCCCTATGCGTTGCTACAAGCAGACATGAGCATATGGGGATATTCCAAATCTATTTTAGCTATGACAGTTCTATGAAACAGAAAGTATAATGTTTTGTATATATTTCCATTATTTAGTTGCTATGTTGAGCCACTTTTTGGATATTACTTTAGAAAGCAGAGAATACGCATCAAAATCAATGTCATGGTTACACCCTGTCTTACATTTTAAAAAAAATACATAAAACACCACTTTATAAATTGTGAAAGAAAAGTAAAATCACCCATAAACCACGATAGTTTTCTTTATAGTAGACCTGTGATTTGCCCAAGAAAGGTAAAGGTGCCGTCGTTTGATTTCCACGACTGGCCATCATGCACAGACCAAAGTGGATTTTGATTATCGTTTGTTATCAGTACTTGCTGACCAAATTTTGTTGATCGACAGAACAGATTTTCGTTTGCGCATGTGCAGTGTTCACATTGCGCTTTTTTTTAACCTATGAGAACGCCACTAGTCCATTGTTTTTCGTACGATTTAAAAAAGTTTTCTAGTCTGCCCGATAGACAAAATTCGGCCAGTTGTACAGCAATTGTGATCGCTGACTTCCCATAAACTGGCCAATTATTGTTCGGAAATCAGAAGGTGTATGGGTACCTCAGGTTAGCGCTTCCTAGCAGCATATACTTTCTTTCTTTCACTTCCTCACCTCTCTGTTCAACTCGTAAATGCAAACAAAGTCCTGGGTAAACTACGATTTGCTTCTTCATATTATCTTCATCTCCTGGTGCTCATCAGAGTGGCGGTGGAGTGAAAGAAAGGTAAGCATATACTGGAGACGAGGGGTACAATGCACAACTGTTATTATGCTCTGAATTGGCAAAGCATAGGGTTTGCTTTAACCAAAGGAAAGCTAGAATGTGAAAGATATGCAGCGCATATTCAGTTCAGACCAGTACAAAACCTGGTTTCTCTCTATAAACCATTATAAACAGTGTGTGTATAAGTGCACAACTAGAGTCACTTGTATAGATTGACAGTAATATTGATTGTTTATACTCAGTTCATAGTGATTTTCCAATATTTGAACCCATAACAAAGTATTCAGGTTCTTGTGTGATAAGCTGCTGCTGTTCGTAGTGTGGGAACTGGGCAGACAAGCTGGATGCATTGATGTGACACTTGGGTCTTATTACACAATGCTTTCACACACAACATAAACTGTGTAACATGCCTTAGAGCTCCAGGGAGATAAATGCCTACATTTGATTAACTGTTGATGCTTTAGAGCACATTTGCATCATGAGCCATTACTACAAAACTTTATATACTGACAGTGAAATTAGGTCAATGAATTAAAAGAACACATGAAACAACATGAAAGGAATACAGAGGTTGCCATTGAAGGGATCCTCACGAAAATACTATCACCCTGGTCATCCTTTAAGCTGGCAATACACATAGCAATTCAAAGTCAATGAAGAACCACTTTTGAGACACTGGGAATCAGATATGATGGCAAGTTACTGCCAGGAAATAAACAATCTACCACCCATGAGTTTGATCAGCCACAAGAATTAGGTTTGGAAGTCAAAACTGAGCAACAAAGTGACAGTTTTAATACAGATTATTGAGCAACCCAGTTAAAATTGATCCTTAACAGAGGAACAATGACAATTTAAAAAGTGATCTGATTTTCCACCGCAATCGATCTTGCCAACTTTGACTTTGTGATGTCACAAGTACGGGCTTGTGATGATCACAAGTACGATCTGCCTGTCCAAGATGGGCAGATCGTACGAGATTTTAATTAGCTTACAACCATCGCACAACGAAAGTCGTGCGATGGTTGTAAGGTGTATGGCCAGCTTAAGAACGTTTTAATGGAAGCAGCGGGTTCTCTACTTGTGCTACATATTTCTTGCAGGTCAGTGGCTTAATATGTTTGTTTAACTTCACCACCTCAGGGCCTCCATGAAGCTTGCATGAGCTTCTATCAAAGCCTTCTCGCACGGTTGTTTTACTCTGCGACTGACTTCCTTTATACCTCATTCCCACGGACATACACAGCTGTACTGCATGCATGTCTGTGCAGAAACCTGCGCCCAGGAGTGACAACGGGTGTGAAGCCGCCTCTCAAGTTTTTGGCTGAAGTTAGACTAATAAGCCACAAGAGAGGTTTAAATTAGGGATGTTCAGATACCAGTGCAGATACTTGGCATTTTCATGAGAACTACCAGGGTTGCAGCTGGGACCTAGCTCTGGCGCTCCACCACTGTCCTGAAATCATTAGTCTGTATTGTTTTAGAAAAACTGTCACATGACAACAAAAATGTATCAGTACTTGTATCTGTGAGTACTTGGACAAGTATCAGTACTTGTACTTGAAAAAAATGGTATCGGTGCACCTCATATATGGTTATAAAAAAAAAAAAAATCACACATTAAAACAGAGATGCACAAATCCCAGGAGCTCCCTATGCCCCTTACAAATGACAGCTGCCTAATAACTTTTGAATGTTTGTCTAGTTTAGTCTTGGAGCTGGAAAAGTATATGTACTTGTACTGGTATCTGAGCATCCCTAGTTTATATAATCAGTGTTTAAAATACATAAATTAATTTTGGAATAAATGCATAGCTAGACTAAAGGGCGGGTTTTAATATTTCCTTATAGCTGTTCTTTAATGTTTCCTTCTGTTTATAACCCTCTAGATATGTACAGAAAATAACACCACTGTTCACATCTGAAGGTATTAAAATAATAAAAACAACAAACTTACTTTGACATGAGGGTGCTTAGTACAAGTCGTCCCCCAGACGCGAGCACACCTCTCCTCTTTTCTGTGCTCAAAGAACTCTGGATTCCTCAGAATTGCCACTCTCCGTCCTTCATATGACAGGGCGAGTGCTTTAACTCCATTTAGTTTTTCCTTGTCTTCCTTAGATACAGGCAGCACAATCGGAATACTCAAGTTGATTATGCCCCCTAAAAGTACAATTGTCCAGTTAATACAAGTAAGAGGAGATGTGAGGGGAAATTCAGAAAGTGAAGAAGGGTTTCTTAGTAGCCAAGTGATCAGTGAAAACAAGTGCACCTTTCCTCTACACTCCCTGAAATCTAAGCACTTATAATGAATTACCTTCAACCTTTCTTCCAAGGAGATGGCTTACAGCAGAGCTCAAACCATTACATTCCTGGGCTATAGGAAGTATGAGGGACTACTGGTGATATTCTTACACCTTTCTTCAATGAGATGACTAACAGCAGAGCTTAAGCCATTACATTCCCGGGCTATAGGAAGTATGAGGGCCTACTGGTGATATTCTTATACCTTTCATCAAGGAGATGGCTTGCAGCAGAGCTCAAACCAATACATTACCGGGCTATAGGAAGTATGAGGGCCTACTGGTAATATTCTTACACCTTTCATCAAGGAGATGGCTTGCAGCAGAGCTCAAACCAATACATTCCCGGGCTGTAGGAAGTATGAGGGTCTACTGGTAATATTCTTACACCTTTCCTCAAGGAGATGGCTTACAGCAGAGCTCAAACCATTACATTCCTGTTATATAGGAAGTATGAGGGTCTACTAGTAATATTCTTATACCTTTTATCAAGGAGATGGCTTACAGCAGAGCACAAACCATAACATTCCTGGGCTATAGGAAGTATGAGGGCCTACTGGTAATATTCTTATACCAAGTCATATAGGTCCCTATAGGTAGAATTATTAGGGGCTTACTTTGATTACACATAGCACAAATAAAGCCAAGCTAAAGAGTATTTCCAGGCAACAATTTAAAGCTGAATCTAATCTGCTTATATTTGGCCTTCCCTGGTTCCTCCTTTTACTTCATCAACATGCTAATGTAATTATTAAATAAAACCTTTCTGTTTCCATTGCATAAAGAAGCACAGAGATCTGGTGATAATGTCACTGGGTCTGAAATAAGGTATGTAATGAAGACAGATCATGGCTGGTGGGAGGGGCCATTAGGGTGCTGTATAATGTTTCCTGAAAACAGCACAGCACCCTGCCTTAGTACTTTTCTCAAGAGCCCTTTAGCCGTTTAACAGCAGTCTGGCTCCTGGGTGCTGTTATGCAAATATCAATAGGTCGTAATGGGTGGGTGTCAGTCTGGAGGAGTGAGCATGCAGACCGCCCTGGGTAACCCCCACTTGTGATGCTAACCCTTCATGGTGCAAAGAACTGAAATCCAATGAATGAAAGGAGTAGACCAGAAACAATATGGCTGGAGAGAAGAGCTAATGCTGGAAGTCCTCCAATTGAGAAACGTAAAAAACAATGAACAAGACACAAATCAATAGCTTATCATTGATATTGCCATTTACGTATGAGCAGTAAGCGATTATAAATCACTGTGTAACCTTTATAGTGTGTGGTTACTAGGGTGGCTTCGTATTTGTGCACATTCACCGCAATAATAATAACACAGGGAGTGCCTTTGACTAAGTTGGCACTATAGGTAATATGCCTTTCCCCTACATGTTTAGCCTGCAAACCACACACTACAAATCTCTCTAGAAATATTATTGGAGGACAAATTAGTTTTCATTTGGAACACAGATTGAATTCCTGGTCTATAGCCAACAAAAGGCTGCTGCAATTTAATCAGACTTAATTAGAGACACCAACCTTTGCTTGCTATAGACATTTTTTTATATGGTGAATCACAATTAAAAAACAGCACAGGGATGGTAAATAGATTCCAATAAAAATGATGTTTGAAATTGAATTACCATTCTTGCTCTCTTAAAGGGATCCTGTCACCAGTGCTTTGCTTTTATATACGAGGAGATGAATATTCGCAATAAGTGTTATCACTGATTAGAGCCTCCTCAGCACTCATTCTTTCAAGAGTTGACCTTCCTTTTTTTTTAAGTTTGGTTAGAGTGAGGAAGGGTTAGAGCTTATCAGATTTAACTGCTATCAGGGGCTCCATTACACAGATTTACTCTCACTACCTGGTGCAAATATTTGGAAGTGGAAAGAGAAGTGGACCTGTGTGATTATTTGTTTTTGTCATCTAATAAAGGTGAAGTAAAGTGAATATGTGTAATCTGACGAATGGATAGATTATCCTTGGCTTAACAGTGAACACAGTACTGTAGATGTAGGAATTGAAGAACCACACCAATTAAAATAGTCCAGATACAACTTTATTCCACAAGGGTCAGGGGACAGTCGAGTAGAATAGCCATTGCCTTTCAGGGGTCCAAAAACACCCCCGTCCTCAGGGTGTGGTGAGAAAAATCATGCATGTGGATTAAAGTCTCTTCCAAACCACTTGCGGACAAGCCAGAAGCGTTCCCATCACAGCTCAATACAAATTTTAAGCTGGAGAGACTTTAATCCACATACATGATTTCTGCCACCAAGCCCCGATGATGAAGGGTGTGTTTTTGGACCACTGAAGCATGGAGCTGGCTTACCGGCCAATCGGGAAGCCGGGCAGCGTGTAATGACTTGCCGCCTAGCTTCCTGATTGGTCGGGACTCTGGCCAATAAGGAAGCCGGACGGCGAGTCATTACCCACGCCTCGGCTTCTTGATTGGCCAGAAACCTGGCTTCGTGCTCCCTCGTCACGAGGAAGCATGGAGACAGCCTCTTCGCTAATCGGGAAGGCAGTTCGAGCATGAGAACAAAAGTAGCCACCCTCCAGAAGGAAGGACAGCGTCAGCACCTATTAAGAGATGAATTGAGGATCTACAGCTGAGTGATACACAAATAAGATACCTTTTTGTTAATAGTTAAGGTGCTTGAATGTATTAAAGATTTAACTCCTGAATTTAGTGTCACTTTAACAGTGATGACAGGTTTCCTTTAAGTTATAAAGGCTTGGTAATTAAAGTGCCAGTAAAAAAAACAGGAGTTACTTCCCAACAACCAGGGGATTCAAGCCTGCTTTGAAGATAAGGGACTAAACTCCAGTTACTTTTACTAACCCAAGCCAATGGGATACAAGTAATATACCAACCCAATACTGGTGCAGTTAATAGTCTGGAAATTAAGAGATCACAAATACAAAATTATTAATAATTATATATTACAAAGTATCACAGATTGGTCAGCAATAAGTGGGTTGCAGTTATAGAAAGTGCTTTTTCTAAAGGTTGACATATTTTTGTTTTCAAGTGTAGCTCTCATCTACAAGTGCAACTCACAAGATTCCATTGGCCACATGCTTACTTACCAGGCCAAATTAAGTCAATAAAAAATATGTTCACATAGATCGAGGCAATTTGAGCAGCTGCGTATGATTAGGTCCAAAACCTGCTAAACAGAGTAAACTCACCAAAAGACTTTGTGAATGATAAATCTGAGTTATGCTTCGCATCTAAAGAAAAGTGCAGTTTAAGAAGTCACAATGCAGCTACTTTACACTGTATAAATCTATTCAGAAATCGTATTCATTAGCCAGGAGAGTGTCAGAAAATGCCAAACCTAGTGCCACTGGTCAAATGATTTTATATACCTATAGGACATGACATCGTTTTCCTATAGGGTATTTACAGCAAGTGCGCATTTTGGGATATTTCTTATATGTGTATATATATATA